TCCCTCACCCAGCAGAGATAGTGGTCATCTGTCCCTCTTTTTCTGCCCCAATTTCAGAACCTTAGAATCTAGTCTCCTTTCTGTTTTTTATATTTTTGATAACCATCTTTGTTTAAAATCTCTGCACAACTAACAGCCTTTCTTTAAAAAGTCAGACAAATAAAGCTAAGTCATTAATTGTATGTACACCGACATATCTTCTTTTGTGAGAGAACCTTTCTTCACATTTTGTTAATGGTTTCTTTTAATTCAAAGCAAAAGGAGTGATAAAAATTCCCCCTAATTAATATTCTGCTAAATTCTTTAGGTGATATACAAACTAGCAGGTTTACTTTGCTTTGATTTTAGGACATTTAGTTTTCTATAATCAATCATAGATTATTATTTCTTTTTTAATGAAGAAATTTGTGAATTATGGTAAATTTTCATCAGGCTGAACAAAATTCTCCCCAAACTACACTGGCCAAACTCAATAGGGTCATTTTTTTTCACTATGAAGAGAGTTATGGGGTTACCTGCCTGTCAAGTAGATGTTCAAGATGAAAAGCTGTCAGGTAATAAGACACAGCAATCTTAATTCAGTACCAGAAATGTGGCTTAATGTATGCATGAATTCTAACTGGAACAAATCTCCGAGTGACGTTTTCCTCCACATTGGACTTTTCTTTAAAACATCTAAAGTTCTTTATGATGATTTTATGATAAAAGCTTTTAAAAATGGACAGTTCTTGCCAAAACATGGGCTAAACAATATTCTTACCTGTTTTCAGCTGAATTTTGTTCTGCACAGTGATCAAAGGGAAACATGGTCCTTATCACACTCAGCTACCACTTGCCAACCTGCAGACTTTGATCTCTTCATTCTTTAATATGGTTATTCTGACAGTTTATACATCTAGTATTACCATCACCTGTCCTAGACAGATGATCTGTGTGGGTGGGTGGATGGTTTGTAAGTTTTGGAAAGGTCTTCCATAAATGAACCAAATAAAAGTATCATAGTGACTGAAATCTTTTTCTTGAATTCCTAAGTAATGTCACCTCCCTATATTCCTTTCTTCTTTTTCTTTTTAAATATTTTCCATGGTTCTTATGGCTTAACCACTTATCTGACAATGAATGCTGAAATTACAGCAGTCTACATATATAGCTAGTTTTGCTCACATTTAGGACAGAAGAAGCTCTTACTTCTGAGTAGGCATGCATAGGGGTACACTATAAGGCACAGTTATTAATGCAAGCTAACTGAGAAATTCGATAGGACTTCAATCCAAAGATCTGTTCATGTGGAGACTGGCCTCCGTTTTTATGTCAGTGGCAGAAAGCAATATCTTTTACCTGAAGGAAGTAGTGTGTGCTGGCAAGCCTTTTTCAGAATGGAATGAGTGTGAAGACAAGATATATGAATGCAGATGAGTGGGTAGTCTCTCACAGCAACAAAGGACATTAAGGAAGTAGTAGGAAGAGAAGCAATTAGTTATGTGTCATTTTGGGGGATGCACAGCTGGTGGGAGAAAACACGCATTTTTTTAATATTAAGGACTTGTAATCTGTGCTTGGGGGGGCAGGGGCTTGTATGATGTCTTGCACTCTTTCCTCGGCTGTCTGACGTTTCAACCATGTCCAAGTCTCTTACACATCCACCTGTCTCCTGCCTTCTTGAAAAGGTTAATGGTAATGTGGCTGAGTGAGCTACAAGATTCCCAGAAGTCTTTGTAGTCACAAAGAATATGTTGAAGATCTATCATCCTCCCCAAAAATATGCTTTCAAAGACTAAAGAGTAACTTCTAGAGTTTAATTAAACCAATGGGATAATATTTGCAAAAGCAGGCTCTTCTACCTGCTGTTATGTGTAATAAGGAGGAGTGATGAGAGAAAATAGCTGATGGCAGAGTAATACACAATTCCCAAGTAGATACATCTATTGCAAACTGGAGCTGACACAAGACAATTGCAGCACCTCTCTCTTTCCACTTTCACCACTTACCCCATGCTGCTACATATGGATCCAATCCAACCAAATAAATACCTTCAAAGATTCCCTACATTTCAGTGAGAAAGGCTTGCATGCACACTTTAAATTCCCATTGAAGTATATTGCATTTTTTTAAAGTTACAGGCTTGCACACTAGATGGAGTGTATTTTATGTCTCCTACTGTAAAAGAAATCACTCATATTTACCAAAGATTTATTTAAAATGACAGCAAACTGTCTTATTTTAGTGAGAAAATAAATCATATCTTTTTATCCATAGATTTATCATAGGTTTGGATAAAAATAATATTTCACAGGGATGGGAGAAGTCTTTCCCATACAGAAAAATTCTGCAGTGATGTTACTCAGGTGTGATTTATCTTTCACAAGAAACTCCCTTTTGAGCTAGTATTAACCTGGCTTTCTTTGCTAATTATATCAATACTATACTCACATCTCATTTTTGCCATTATGACAGCACTGGAATAAGTAGATAGTGAACTTTGAGATGCACCTAATCCCATTTATGAATATCTTATAGAATGACAAAAAACATTGAAGACTAAGGGGAAATGAATGCAAACTAAATGGAAATCTTCCAGGGAGTTTGGAATTATCAGCACACATTATGCCCTGATCTCCAACACAGGTTGAAACATTAAACTATTTCCCTACAGAAATGAGAAATCATCTCTGAAGGACGCAATCCTTTACACACCAATTTAATAAGTAACACTCGCTTGAACTCAAGGGATTAATGTCTGGGTGGGTAAATATTCTCAAGTGCAGGCTAAAAGGGCAAAGAAACAGTGTAACTTCTATGTTCTTTTGCTGCTACAGATTCCAATTATGTTCAAATGAGCTGCATCATCCTTCATTAGCCTCAGACACCATGAAATTGATTAAAAATCATTAGAACGTGGACTAATTGCAGGCGCCATTTGTAAATATCTAACTGTTGAAACTTACATTACATACAGTGAGTCGTAGGGACCTTCCAGACAGCCATATAATAAAATACCAAGACAGAAAAACCCACAGTATCTGCTTTGAACTGGGCTATTTGAGTCTACACTGCCATCTATCCCAGTTCAAAGCAGATAATGTGGGATTTTATACAGGGTGAAAGAGCAGGAATCAAAATCAATATGTTATAAAAACAAGAAGTTTTGATATATTGTCGAAGGCTTTCATGGCCGGAATCACTCGGTTGTTGTGAGTTTTCTGGGCTGCATGGCCACATTCCAGAAGCATTCTCTCCTGACGTTTCACCAACATCTATGGCAAGCATCCTGAGAAATTGTGAGGTCTGTTGGAAACTAGGAAAATTGGGATTATTTATCTGTGGAATGTCCAGGGTGGGAGAGAAAACTCTTATCTGTTTGAGGTAGGTGTGAATATTGCAATTGACTACCTTGATTAGCATTTAATGGCCTAGCAGTTTCAAGGTCTGGCTTCTTAATGTCTAGAGGAATCCTTTGTTGGGGGGCTGATTAGTTGTCCCTGGTTGTTTCTTGCCTGGAAATCCCCTGTTTTTGAGTGTTGTTCTTTATATACTGTTATGATTTTAGAGTTTTTAAATGCTGATAGCCTAATTTTTGGAAGTCTGGAATTTTAGAACAAAGCCGTCATCCACTGGCTTCTGGTTACACTTACAAGCTTATGATTAATTCTGCCCCAGGACTTTCCATGTCTGTGAAATGAAGTGAAGTCAGGTGGATCTTAAACTTCACAAAAAGGCAAAAGAGAGCTGGGCTTTTTAAAAATGAGTCCATCAAGCAAGACTTTCTCTAGCAGACAAGAGTTCTTTCTCCCACCCTGGACATTCCACAGATATATAAACCTGACTTACTCAGTTTCCAATAGACCCCTCAACCTCTGAGGATGCCTGCCATAGATGTGGGTGAAATGTCAGGAGAGAATGCTTCTGGAACACGGCCATACAGCCTGGAAAACTCACAGCAAAACACAACCTGCCTTCTTTACCCCTGTCCCTCTTGGCTGGTCATCCAGAGAGGAGATGCAATTTGATCTCAAAATCAACAAATTATGATTGCACCTCTCATGTCAGGTGAGAATGCTTCTGAGACATCCCAAGCCATGCAGTCCGGAAAACTCACAGCAACCCACTTTCTACCACTGCTTTGTAAGTTTCACCCCTTTGCTTTCTTTCACAGAAGCAGGAAGGAGTTCACAGATCAGCTCTCACTTGTTGATCCATGCCTATTTCCCTGATTTCTCCACCAGCATCCACCCTACGTGTCACTCTAGGGAATCTAAAATGATGATAATAAGATCAATGATATCTATCCATCACCATCATCATCATCAAATGGATGCCCCCGGTGGTGCAGTAGGTTTGTGCTGGCAGGACTGAAGATTGACAGATTATATGTTTGAATCTGTGGATGAGCTCCCTCTGTCAGCTCCAGCTCTCCATGTGGGGACATGAGAGAAGCCTCCCATAAGGATGGTACAAAAATCAAAACATCCAAGTGTCCCCTGAGCAACGTCCTTGCAGACGGCCAATTCTCTCACACCAGAAGCAACTTGCTCTTTCTCAAGTCACTCCTGACATGAAAAAAAATCTAGGCTGCATCAATATGAATATAGTGTGTAGATCAGGGAAGATAATAGTACTATTCTAGTCTGTGTTGGAGCTGCTTGAGAGTGGAATATGTTGCCTTGGAGTGTGACACACACACACACACAAATCATCCTCAAAGTTTCCTTTTGACCAAGTATGTATTTATCTAGGCTGCATCAATATGAATATAGTGTGTAGATCAGAGGAAATAATAGTACCATTCTAGTTTGTGTTGGAGCTGTTTGAGAGTGGAATATGTTGCCTTGGAGTGTGACACACACACACACACAAATCATCCTCAAAGTTCCCTTTTGACCAAGTATGCACTTAAACATTAAAGTCAAAACATGGACAAAAAAGGAAGTTAGCCTCTAGAACATGGCCATATAGCCTGAAAAAACCTACAGGAACCCAGAAGTTATCCTTCCTTTGTTTACCTGATCGAAGTAGATTATCCTGGTTTTGTTACTCATCTCCGACGGTTCGTGGTTGGTACTCCTGACGGCGGAGAAGGCCACCTTGGAATTGGCCGCCCGCACGGAGATCCCCAGAGGCGAGGAGGACGATCCCTTGGCATCGCTGGTGGGGTTGGAGTCGCAAACCACCAGGCATTTCCCTTCCAGGACGATGGGCTCGGTGTCGTTCTGCGCCCAGGCGGGGAAGGCGGGCAGCGTCAAGGCTAAGAGGACGGTGGGCACCATGGACAGCGCCCTGCTGGGGAGGCCCATGGTTCAGCACCAAGGACAGCGGGCGGGAGGGCGAGCTGGACCGGCAGCGCCCCGACGACGCGCGCTCTCCCCGCCTCCTTCGCCTTCCCCGACGCTGCCCAGCCAGCCAACACGAGGGGGCCCAACTCTCTCCCTCGCCCCCCGCACTCCGAGACCTTCCTTTCTACCGGCAGGAGCCACTTCTTCCCCGGCTCCTTCCCAGCATCTCCAGGAGTCGCAAAGTCCGTCCTTGTGTTGCAAGAAAGCTCTTGGAAAGATCCTCTCCGCGCCCGGCTCTTCTCCCTCCGAGCTCCGCGCTCCACATCCAAAAAAGACCAGAATGGGGGGTGAATTATTGATGAAAGAGAGACACTGAGAGAGGGAAGGGAAGAGCAGCGGAGTCAGTGGACGCCGCTTCCACCCGCTCCATCGCCCGAGCCCGGCTGGTGTTATCTAGTCCCGCAAAAAACCAGAGCGGAGGGCTTCCAGTGGTCTTCTTCTCGGCACCGGCTCGCCTTCCCGACTGGCCACGCGTGGGCTTCCTTGGCCAGGAGGCTTCCTCGCAAAAGAGGCGGAGGAGAAGGAGGAAGAAGAGGAAGAGGAGGAGGAGGAGGAGTGCCCTCGCGCTTCGCCACGGTCCCACCGCCCAGCGTCATGGCACACGGGAGCCCGCCCAGCCCATCTCTCCCTCTCTTTCCCCCCTCCCCCCACCCCGCGCCCCCCAACTTGGCACAGCCTCCTCTCTTTGCCTTCAGAAACCCGCCTGGGATGAGCAACTCCTCGCAAGCCTCCCGATGCAGAACTTTTTTTCCCCCTCAAAGACTCGGAAAGAGGAAGCTTTTGCCTCCAGGAAGCCTTTCTCGGTCTGTTTTGGTTGCCTGCGCCTGAGTCTCAGGAGGTTTAGGTCCTAAATCCTAACCCAATAGGTCCATGAGATTGCGATGAAAACACAACAGCCAGCCCTATTAACCCTTTCAGAGTAGGGGAATAATGGAAACTGTGAAAGAAGAACTGTTTCAAAGTAGCATGGAAGCCACCCCAAGGGCCACCCAGCCCCTGAAAAAAAGACATCATCAAGATGCTATTCAATGTATTTCCAACAGACCTCACTACCTCTGAGGATGCTTGCCATAGATGCAGGCGAAACGTCAGGAAAAATGCCTCTAGAACATGGCCCTATAGCCCGAAAAAACCCACAAGAACCTAGTGATTCCAGCCATGAAAGCCTTCGACAATACATCATCAAAGCACTCCCGACAGATGGGCATCCAGCTTAGTACATAGAGGCAATCCTTCCCTTCACCCAACTCTCTGTCCATTGTTTCCATGAAGCAACACAGAGCTCTTCAGATATCATCACACTAGAGCAGCGTTTCTCAATTTTCCTAATGCCATGACCCCTTAATACAGTTCCTTGTGTTGTGGTGATCCTCAACCATAATATTATTTTTGTTGCTACTTCATAATTGTAATTTTGCTACTGTTATGCATCCTATTGTAAATATCTGATATGCATGATGCATTTTCATTCACTGGACTAAATTTGGCACAAATACCCAATACGCCCAAATTTGAATACTGGTGGGGTTGGGGTGGGGATTGATTTTGTCATTTGGGAGTTGTAGTTGCTGGGATTTATAGTTCACTTACAGTAAAAGAGCATTCTGGACTCCACCAACAATGGAACTGAACCAAACTTGGCTCACAGAACTCACATGACCAACTGAAAAAACTGGAAGGGTTTGGTGGGCAATGAGTTTTGGAGTTGTAGTTCACCTACACCCAGAGAGCACTATGGATTCAAACAATGATAGATCTGGACCAAACTTGGCACGGATACTCAATATGCCCAAATGTGAACACTGGTGGAGTTTGGGGAAAATAGACTTGACATTTGGGATTTATAGTTCACCTACAATCAAAGAGCATTCCAAACTCCACCAATGATAGAATTGGGCCAAACTTCATACACAGAACCTCCATGACCACCAGAAAATACTGTGCTTTCTGATGGTCCTTGGTGACCCCTCTGACAACCCCTTGCAACCCCTCCAGGGGTCCCAACCTCCAGGTTGAGAAATGCTGCACTAGAGAATGAACCCACTTTAAATCTGGTTTCTGCCTCCTGCAGAATCCTGGGGTTTGTAGTTTACCGAGTCTGTTAAAGGCTCCTTCCTAAACTACAAACCCCAGAATTCTGCAGGAGGCAGCAATCAGATTTAAAGTAGATTAATTCTCCAGTGTGATGAAGTCTTTAAAACTAAGAGAAAGAAAAACTCTAAAATCAGGATGGTAAATAAAGAACAATCTTCTCAAAATGGGAATTCCAGACATGAAACTATCTGGACGAACTGACATCTCCCAACAAAGGATTCCCCCAGGCAGGAATCAGCCAAGCCTTGAAGCTGCAAGGCGTTTCAATGTTAATCAAGGGGCCCTTCCGCACAGCCCTATATCCCAAAACTTCAAGGCAGAAAATCTCATGTTATATGAGTGCGGACTCAGATAACCCAGTTCAAAGCAGATATTGTGGGATTTTCTGCCTTGATATTCTGAGATATAGGGCTGTGTGATTAAATGCAACATTCACACTTGCCTCCAACAGACAAGAGTTCTTTCTCCCACCCTGGACCTTCCTCAAATATATAACCTCAATTGCCTAGTTTCCAACAGACCTCACAACCTCTGAGGATGCCTGCCATAGATGTGGGTAAAACGTCATGAGGGAATGTTTCTGGAACATAGCCATACAGCCCAGAAAACTCACAGCAACCCAGTGATTCCGGCCATGAAAGCCTTCAACAACAAACAGAAAGAAAGTTCCTCATTTCTTCCCCACTTTTGTCATAGGCTTGGTCATATATTCTATTGCACTGTCTAGTGGTTCCCTTTGAAAATGTTGCCGACAGAGATGCCAGTTCATTCCTTAATGCATGCTGCGTGGAAGGCAAGAGATGCTGAAGAAATCTGACAATAGCAATATAAGTGCTTGCATTTCAAGGATGCTCCCCACCCACACCTACCCGTCTGTGTTTTTCATTCTTTCTGTGCAAGATCCTTCCAGCCATTGACATAAATAAGGTTAACATCTGTTTAAGTCTTTGAAAGAGGCAACAGGGAACACTCCCATATTCAAGTCTTTGTATCTTAAGATCCTCCAGGTGGCTGACAATATGTATTAAGAAACATAACTTAATGATATCAACAGTAATGTTTAAAATCAGCAAAATTCAAAACAATTCACCAGCAGCAGATTCAACATTAAATGAGTAAGAATAACAGTGAAAACAATCTCTTCTGGAACATAGCCATACAGCCTGGAAAACTCACAGCAACCCAAGTCTTAGGGTGTTAAGAGTGCCATGAATCAATTGTTTCAAACGTATATCAAAACAAATTATTTAAAATAGTTAGTGACCAAAATCTGGGGAAATATATTGTTACTGAAATACTCATGCTAGCTGGTGGTGAATGGGTGGCTGTGAATGTGAATTTGTTGGCGTATCTACTCTGTGGTTTAGTCTGAACACTAAAGGGGCTATTCAAAGTGCTGAATATAAATTCATTACGGCAGTTACAACAAGTTTGCATCCCTGGAGTGTGTGTGAGTACAACTTTCCGTAAGCTCCAAACAACTCTGGAGTTGACTATGCTGTCTTGGGATAATAGCAGTCATAGTCCAAATGCATTTGGAGGGTACTAGTCTGGAGAAGCTTGTGTTGTGCCCTAGATGTAAGAGGTTTGTAGAATACTGTATATTTCTTGCATAGCTTACAATAATAAAACTGGAAGATCCCACATGGACCATCCAGTCCAACCCACAACATGCAGGAAAAGCACAATCAAAGTACCCCTGATAGATGGCCATCCAGGCTCTGTTTAAAAGCCTCCAAAGAAGCTTCCACCACACTCTGAAGCAGAGAGTTCCACTGTTGATAGCTCTTATAGTCAGAGAGTTTTTCCTAATGTTCAGATGGAATCTCCTTTCCTGTAATTTGAACTTGATTTTCAGTATCAGAGAAAGCACAATAAAGGCCTTGTGAGAATGTGTATGTTTTTCCCCAAAAATGAAGAAGGAAGACAATTGATTGTGTGCCTATCTAGTCTTCCTCCTTCGTGGTACTGCAATAAATCCTGCTAGAAAATTGAAACAGTGTCTAGGGGGGCTCCTAAACCTGAGTCTTAAATAGAGAGATCCTGGCATGGTGGAACCTGCCACCATCCCCTGGAGCAAAATTGAGGTGCTTCATCTCATACCATCTTTTATATCTTTCCATCTCACTCAATGGGGCCCACTGGTGGTGCAGTAAGTTAAACCACTGAACTGCTGAATTGCTGATCAAAAGATTGGTGGTTTGAATCTGAGGAGCGGGGTGAGCTCTTGCTGATAGGCCCAGCTTCTGCCAACCTAGCAGTTTGAAAACGTACAAATGTGGGTAGATCAATAGGTACAGCTTCTGCATTAAGGTGATGGCGCTCAATGCAGTCATGCTGGCCACATGACCTTGGAAGTGTCTATGGACAACACCGGCTCTTCAGCTTAGAAATGAAGATGAGCACCACCCCCCAAAGTCAGGCACGACTAGCCTTAATATCAGGGGAAACCTTTACCTTTATCTCACTCAAATTCTTTTGTAAAAAGTTTCCCACTTGAGCAACTGGATTCTATATCCACTTTCCTTAGCCAGTCCACATCATTTCTAACATATTTTCTTATGCTACCCTCAGCAATGGCTTCTTGCTTTCCAATAGAATCAGTAAAGGCCTTACTTGCAATTATGTAATAGACTTTTTAGTTTTCTGATGAGTTTATTTTCTGTTGGCACTTACAGACAGGTTCTTGCCAAGGATAAAAATCCAGCCAACCAGAGAGGTAGTGCCCCAAATTTATTTTATTTATTTATTTACAGCATTTATATTCCATCCTTCTCACTCCACAGGGGACTCTGGGCGGATTACAGTGTACACATATATAGCAAACATTCAATGCCAATTTTAACATATAACATATACAGACATACACAGAGGCTATTTAACTTTTTCTGGCCACCAGGGGAGCTGTCGCTTTCATCGTCCATCTGCGACACTGATGAAGTACTTCCGCATTCCCCACATGCTTTTTTGCTGGAGTGCTTTGCTGGAGTCTTTTTTATGGCCTCATAAATTAGTTAATTTAGCCTCCCCACACTTTAAGGTGGTACCTAATTTTCCTACTTGACAGATGCAACTGTCTTTCGGGTTGCAAAGGTCGACAACAGGCTACACACAATTGGTTGGAAACCCACTCCAACCTGGGCTGGCTTCGAACTCATGACCTTTTGGTCAGAGTGATCTTAATGCAGCTGACACTCAGCCAGCTGCGCCATAATCCCAAACTCCATACATTCCTTATTATTGCTGAGAAGTTTAAGAATCACAATTGTTATGTCAGTCAGTGGAATCCACAATGAAAGCTGATTTGATCTAGTGGTTAATACAAATTTCATGCTGCAATCTTGTGCGCACATCCATGAAATGGATGTGTGCTCCCATTAGTTAAGTGGAAGTAATTTCTGACTATATTGAGAGTACTAGGCTTTATGGGGAGAAAAAAGCAATGTGCAATATTGGTCTGATTTTGGACCTCAACTCTGGAAATGAGTGTTCAGTTCCCCATTTGGCCA